CTCCTCAAACAAGTAGATACAACAGGAAAGGACAGGGATTAGTGGGATCAGGATCTAGTTTCAGACAGTGAAGTTCTTATGCATTCAGTGTGACATGGGCAAACCATCTTATTGCTCTGATTTCGTCACTTACAAAACAGAAATAACAATCTTTACCTAAAGCGACCACTGTGAGAATTAAGCTAAACAACTTATAAAAGCACTTGGTAGAAGGGGATATTGTACTTAACATAGTTGTTGATGATCGATCTGTCCATCCCTATGCCTGTGTGCACCTACGTGAACACAACAGATGGTAACAGAAATGGCTTCACCTTCCCAATGATTTTAAGACAGGTTCTGAGGAAGATTCTCCACAAACTATTCAAAGCAGTATTAGGTATTTTGCAGCCAAGCAACATATTCACTGAATAAATAGTGGACAAGTATCAGGAGTATAGAGTTTAGGAGTCTGAAATAGTACTGGCATAGAGATTCTGCTGGGCTCTCAAAAGTGAAACTTCACAGTCTTTTATGAATTTGAGAGTAAGAACTATTTTACACATCTTCGTACTCACTCCCAGTGTCTAGATCCTAACTGCCCAGTAATTATGTGCTTATGGGACTACCAATTTTTATCTCAATAAAGTCACTGATTTCATGGCATCTGGAAGCTAACCCACATAACTCTGACAAATTAATAACATAAACATTTCAGCTAATTATGATCTTAAAAACCAGAGACCTGACCTATGCCAGAAAAATTTTGGAGTATTCTTTTTGAGTATCAGGCAATGATTTAACATCGGAAAAATTTAACATGGGGGAAATAATTTTAAAATAAATATTTCAAGGACTGGGCATACAGTTCAGTGGTAAAGCACTGGTCTACCGGTTGTGAAGCCATGGGTTCAATTCCTAGTACTGAAAAAAATTAGAAAATAAATACTTCAATAGTTGATATATAGATATATATCAAACTCAGAATAAATGATTTTAATAGAATCTTAAGAATAAGTTGTCTTGGATAAATAGCCTGAACACTTTTTCCAATACCATATTCAAAAAAAATTGCTAACATTTATGGTTTGCAAGAGCCAGTCACTTCATATTAATATGGAAGAGCAATTGAATTCTACAACTATGTCATTCAAATACTGACAGACGGGCTCAGTGTTTTTGTTGTAGAAAATACAAAATTTCCAGAGTCCTGTGAGGAAGTGGAGAATTTCTTACATGGTATTACATTGATCATAACATGTAAACTCTGTAAATATGGTTTTGTTATTTATGTGTGCCTGAAAAGGCAGCACACTGGCTTGTAGTGAACACCCTGGGAAGGCTGAACTTTCCCTAAAGCACATATATGATTCTGGCAGCTACCACTGCCACAGTGGGAAATGATTTTTTTTTTTTTTTGTAAGCTAAAATTCCAAATAATGTTCATAGCCTCTGGCAGTGGTATGTCCTCACTATAGTTTAGATAAAAATACAAAATTTAGTGTTAGTTGTAGGTTTTTTATAACAATATTCAAAGAGATACTGTATCACAGGTTGGCTATTTTCTACCAACTACCAAGTTATTCTTTAGAAAAACTCTTTCTGAATCTAAATGTCACAGTATTTCTATCAGGTTTGACTGATCACAGCAAAATATAAATAAATAAAAATAATTCACATTCTCAAGTTAACTATGTTGGTCTAAACAAAAATGGAGTATGATTAGGCAGGACAGATTTATCACTTTGGCACCTCTGTCAGTAAATAGGAATTCATAATTTTCTAGGTCTATTTTCCCCCTCAAGACAAACTTTCTCTGCTGTCAAAAACATATGAAGAATTTAGAAACAGTGCCATTTAAAAATAAAATGCACAGTCACATTTTAAGTGTTTTATAAAAACTTTTTAAAATGGGAGGGATCTCACACCGAAGTGTCTGAGGAGCAGTTCCATTAAAGGAGGCTGTCCTGCGCACGGATGGACCTGCTGTAAAAAGGCAAGGGTTAGCACAGAGAACTTGGAGGAAGAGGCTCTAGTTTCAAGTGAATGGACTTGGGGGAAGGGGAGGGTAGAGAACACAGTGTGCTGCCATGAAAGATCACTCAGCATTACTTTCAATCAGCCTTCAGAGATGGAAACACACTGCCCCCACTTCTGGCTCAAATCACTGGGAACTAATTACATGGTAGTACTGAAAAGGGGGAAGAAAAAGCTCTGAAGATGACAGAGTACTATTTTCTTGGCTATGATCTAATCTGATTTATCATAATCTTACCATAAAATGGAAAGTTTACTTTTTTTTCCAAAGTTATTGAAAGGATTAAAATAATATATATAGAAATTTATGCTCTGCCCTTTCTGCTTGTTTCTGGATGCACAAATGGATGCTTCTCTATAGAAGAAAAGTCACAAAAAGCGAAGTTAATTCCATCACATGAAGTCAACAGCAGACTTCCCCCTCCTGTGCCAAATGCAAGATTACACAGAGGAACATCTATGAACTCAGGATGCAGTGATAGAAAGAAATGCCTTGCCATGGGACGGCTCAGCTGCATGACAAAGCAACTCAGAATGACATTTTTCCTGGTCCTACAATAAATTAACATATAAAATACCACCTACATACCTAAATAGTGAGAATTATGAGTTTTCTTTAAAGAACAAATACCCCCAATAAAACGCACAGATCCAGAAAACCAATTAAGATTTGGAGTTATGTGTGTTAATGATCATACAGGATAGAACCTAGCTCACTTTACTACGGTTCTAATGTCTAAATTATTTTATTTTTGAAGTGTCTTAACTAGTACAGTAATTCATCACAGTCTTCAAGACTTGAAAACAAAGACCTCGGAAAACTGCCACAAATGTTTAACAAATTTTAAAATTATTACTACAATTGTAGAACACTTCAGGTAAGTGCGTTTTTTAAAAGAAATTCCTGTAGAAGAAATCTGCTTATTTTTAAGATTGCTTTCAATTCAGCTAAACCCGTTAACCAGACTATATTACTTAAAATTAGTGTCAATACCCCTTTGATCTCAACTGCAAAGTAAACCCCCCTAAGGAACAGAGATTGAGGTTTAATGCTTATAAATAAATAAATAAATTCACAAGATCTGAGCTTAGAAGAGGACGTGTTTCTGTTGTCATACCTAGAGCTTCTAGATTTTCAGTACAACTTTTTGTTCTCTACCTTCTCTTTATACTTGATAAACAACCTAAAGCTTGGAAACACTTTAAAAGTCTTGGTAGTTTTAGAACTTGTTGTGACTCTGATAATTAAAACATTTACACTGGTTTCTTAGGGCTAAAAAATATTCTATCTGGGTTCAAGCACACAGTACAACTGAGCTATATAACAGTCTTTTTGCCACAATATTAGACTTTGCATATTATTTAAAAATTACAAATCTTCCAAAAAAAAATGGCACCTTTATTCCTCCTGCTCTCTTCCTCCCAAAAACAAAATGCTACTGAGATATCTGTATACTCACACACTGCAAAACATGAGACATAGGAACAATTAAGTAAAAAAAGAATGTAAATACTTTGAGGCTGTAACACATTTTCATATTCTGATCTGGCTGGATAGTATTTTTGTGTGAGCAGTGAAATTAGTGTTGTCTCCTCTTGATTAATACAGAATTTTAAAATTAAAAAGAAAGCCACTTGAAGGAGACAAAAAGTGAAAAGCAAGGTAGGATGGAAAAGCAGGAGTTGAGGACACAGCGTCTACAATGACTCCGTTCCCTTTTTGATACTTTAAAAATGAAATTCCTTCTCTACTCTGTGTTGCCTGAGAACCATTATGGTTTTGTACAGTTTGTAACAGTAATTACAAGTAATGATCCACAAGGACAGTTATTTGTCTTAACCCTATAAATACTATGTTAGTAATACTAAACTATCTCCATTGGCTTATCTGTAAAAAGAAAAAAAATATATTTTTTTTATAAAGTTAATTAACACTGAGGGTAGAGAGAGAACGAGAAGCAGTGTGTAATCACAGTTTCTCGGGATACAGTAACCAAACTGGGTCTTGCTCAAGCCACCTGGTCAAGCAGTGTCTGAGGAAGAGTCATAGGAGGCGGAGACAATGAAATTGCCGCTGTTGGAGTGCCCGGCCATCGACTGGGCGGCCTGCTGGCTCAGGTTGTTACAGATAAGCACCAGCTGGTTGCTCTGGGCCTCGGACAAGGTGCTGCAGCTCTGGTACACACTGAAGTTGGTTTTCCTGCCGGGGATGTTGCCCTTCTCACACATTGTCTTCACCATCTTGGCCAGCTTGTTCTTGCCCAGAGCCTGGCAGTTGTACCAATGCAGAGCTGCCAGGTTTACAACGGGCTTGATCGACAAATAGAAAGGGGCATCCTCACAGCGCATGGCAGGGGGCCGCCGCTGGGCATACTCCTTATAGTCCTGCACAGGACAGGTCTGTGGGGCGTGCTGGGTGGCATACACCCGGGAGTCCGTCCCCCCTCTCTTGGTTTTGGCATTCAGATCACCAGTGTCTTGACCCATCCACTCCAAGTACTCCAGCCCTGTTTCTGTTATCCGGAGTCGGATATCACCCCATTTCAAGGTAGATCCATGGAAGCCCGTGCAGTGCCCGAAAGCTTTCGTGTTGTTGAGCCACACAAGGTTGAGCAGACCTTCAGGGTTGTATCGGCTCAGCAGTCCCCTTTTCCGCAGGATGAGCTCATCAGCAAAGGTGAGCTTCATGGACTTGTGTGGCTTATTTCCTTTTCCTTTGCATCGAAGTTCAATCTGCTTCTGTTTCAGGGCCTCCTGTGAACGCTTGAATTCCTTGTCCCTGGTGATACTGTAGCCGTACCTGTGCTCTTTCAGGTACCGTTCCAGCCCACACTGGTAATTCGCCAAGCTATTGGGTTCGTACTCAGACCCATCCTTCTGCCTGGCATCAACAAAGAAAGAGGCAAGGTAGGCATCCAACTCCTTGCAAGGGATGACATAAATTTCTCTTGTTTCAGAAGGGTACTTGGAGATGAGGAACTCGCGGAAATTGCGGAGCGCAGTCTGCGTGCTCCGGATGGTTTTCTCGTTCTGCTCCCTGCTGAGCTCAGCTGCTCTTTCATCCTGGTCTGCAACAAATTGGGGAGGGGAGGGATAGAGAGGGTGTTGATGAGTTCAGACAATGCACTTTCTACTCTGAAATAAAGTTTCCTTTTATAATGAAAAGGGAAAGAAGGAATCAACTTTATAGAGATCACTGATAAATGGTATTTGTAGACCTGTCACATTATAAAAGCCAACTTCAGCTGCATAAATGTACTAGATAAGAGTATGGGCCATGACAATCAGAGTGGGTTTCCTGTGTCAGTGGCACACAGCTCAGGGTGTGAAGGTCTGTGCTAGGAGTGCGATGAGAGGCAGCCTTCATTTTAGGAAAAACGTGGGAGAGACAGGTGCTATTTATCCTGTGCAGTGTGAGAGGGCCACTGAGAGCCCACAGACTCATGCTGAATCACTTTACTTGTGAAACCAGAGGCTGGACTGGTTCCTTTCAATTAAACTAAAAAACAGAATCTGTATTTGTTAACACATCAGTAGACATCTACATTGAAAAAATAACTAAACCGATCTTCTACAGCAGTTCACTTGATACTTCCTCTTCCACAGGAATTCAGGGGAACACATTTTATAAGTACCCTGTATATCACTGCCCGGCAGTCTGTACTAAGTGGTAAAAATCTTTGGTATTTTAGAGGAAAACAAGTATAAAATTTCACGGCTATAACAAGAGAACAATGAAATATGAATTAGGCTATTACAATCTAGAGGTAAGGAAGGGGTTATGTCTTTTCCTAGAACACTATTTTATCAATTTATTATTTACTTTCTGCTTTAAGGGTTTGAGATGCTTCTTTCTGTTATAGATCTTTCATAATGAAGTAACACAGCTCACTTTACTATGCTTGGAAATCATTCAGGATACTGGGTCAAATGCAGATTACCAGATGACAGGCCAAGGAATCTGCATTTTAATTAGTACCCCCTATACTCATGATGAGATTTGAGAGATTGCACATTGAGAAACGGTTGTAGCGCCTCCTGTCCTATACAGGAAACGCTACTCTATTTTAGGCACTCTGGGTAATGGTTAAGTACAATTATGTCACTTAAATAGCTTCATTTTAGTAACGTTTAACTTAACTTTGAGATCTTAACGTTATAAAAACATTGTCAAAAAATCTTTAGTAACATTTAACTTAAATTTGAGATCTTAACATTATAAAAACATTGTTAAAAAACCATCCCTACCACGTCAGAAACCATCCCTACCACGTCAGACACTGGCTGGGTGAAACTCAAAAGAGAAACCCTAAAGATGGAATTACACAACAGAAATCCAGACTATCCTACTAACTGCTTAGGCAAATACAGAGACTAATCTAGAACAACATTTAAAAAAATGCAATTTCTGGTTCTGAAGTATAAATTTTATCCCGATTACCTAGAAAAACGTTGTATTTGTAAGTTTGCTGAGTAGCCTTTGTAATTAATTACCACATCCAATAATAAAAGTTTCTAATAAACTGAATTTTGTTTCCAAAACACAGTACTTTTTGTATTACTGCACAAATGACAATTCTACAGTGACACTGCCAAAATCCACATAACCTTAGAAAGTGAAATGAACTAAAATTCACTAGTTAGGTATTTATACATGCACATTTTTGAGATCACATTTCTAAGACCCAAACATATGAAAGCGTATCTTATGCTTCAATAATCTTAACTTTCCGTTATGCTATCTTTTCTAGTTGGAATTATCTACATAAACAATATGAATGCTTATCTTTCCATCCAAAACCTGAAAGCCACAGCTGAATATAACCTTTTACCAGCTGGCTTCCTTGACTATTTATACAGAAAACCAAAGGGGCCAGCATTTTTGTTTATTTTGGCTAGTTGTTCCAATTTACAGCAACTTCAAGTAACATTTTCAAGTTAACATCCATAGACAACTTTAGGGAAAAAAAAATTCAGTTTCTCAACTTTCACACAGGATCTTTTCTAAAATTTATACATCTGAGATGAAGACTGATTTGTGCCTATTGCTATCCCAAATATAGTATGGTACATTCTCTGAAATATAAAAGAAGCCAAACAAAATTTATAAATCAATGATCAAATACCTAGCATTTCCTATCCTCTGTTGTATACAAATTCTGATATAGGTAATATTTGCCATTAGAGACAGGATTTGGAGCTTAAATCGAAGTGTTCTGAATTTAGGACACGTGAAGAAGTTACAAATAGGGAGGCTGATTCTTTTAACTGGAACTGGAATATTCTACAGAACTACAAAAATGTTCACCATAAAATAGGCTTAAAATTTTATTCATTTGTTTTAGATTCAGCGTGCTTTCAGTCACAAGGTCTTTATGATCAGATCATGAGACACTAGTTCTATTTAGTCAATCCTCATTTTCATCTTATGAAATATTCAATTTTTTCTACCTCCTTTTTAGAAAAATAACGAGGCTTTTTTTTTGTCTTTTTGAGACAGGGTCCTGCTATGCAGTTCAGGCTGGCCTTGAGTTCACTTTGTAGCCCAGGCTGACCTCGAACTTGCAATGATCCTCCTGTCTCAGCCTCCTGAGTGCTAGGATTACAGGTGTGCGCCACCAAGCCTAGCTTAATCTGAAGCTTACACTAAAAATCTTGGGCTGTCAATTAAAAGTAAGTGAGTGTTACATAGTTTTTTTTCAAATTTCTTTTTCTGAGTCTGTTAGACCTAAGTAAGGACCATTAATCAGTCTGCGGAAGTGGAGTTACTGAAGATGACCATGGAAGGGGCTGAGACAGCTCCCTGGTGAGGCGCCAGCTCTCCCACTTCTGCCACTCCCACATTTACAGCATCAAGTTAACCAGCCCTGCTCAGAGTCGACAGACACATTAATCTCTTCAACTCATCCTCAGTCCAGCCTTGCTGTCAACTTTTTGCCTCCTTACTAGGCCTTGATCCTACTAAAAAACAGCCACTGCATCTGCTCAAAAATGGAACTCAAGGAAAGTGTTACACTGTAGTAGTCTCTCCTTACAGATTAGGGTGTGACACAGGAGGAGGTTGGAAAGGCAAAGATAAGGAAGGAAATGGTTTTAAAATCAAGTAAAAGTAACAAGTTTTTAAAGAGAATAACAAAATCAAGTAAGACTGGAGGAAACATAATAAAATGTAGACCTACTACAATCACTTTGTATTCATGTATACTCTTAGAAATGTTCTGATCCATTTCTTTTTAAAACTCTTCATTAGGTGTAACATTTATGTAATATAGCAGACCAGTGATTTTAGAGATGAGGGCCCAAACTGCAACCAAAACCCACTTACTTACCGCAAAGTGCCAACACTGCAATTAAGCCTGAATACTGAAGTTTTAGCTTAGAAAAAGCAACTCCTATCTTTGGCTCGCACGCTGACAGAGAGGGCTCTGTGTGCCCACTGTGGCACACATGCCATAGTTCACCACCAGTGCAGCAGACTAATCAAGTGCATGTGATTTTTCACAAATCAAATACACCTGTGAACCCCGTACCCGGCTCATGAAGAAGGTCACCACCACCCGAGAAGCCGACCCCTTCTTCCATCATTCCCTCACACAAAGAAAACTGCTCTCCTGACTTGAAGCATCACGGCCTGTTTGGGCTATTACTGTAACTTGTCAGAGATGAAAATTCTTTTGTATCTGGCTCTTTAGACCAATGTTATGTCTGCGACCTTCACCCACAGTGATGTCTACCTGTAAGTTATGCTCTTCTGCTATGTAACATTCTACTGCATGCATTTATCATAGCTTCCTTTTCTAATCCATGGACACTTCTATTAAGTTCTCAGTTTCAGGCTATTTCTAATAAAACTGATTCAAACATTCTAGTAGGTATCTTTTGGCAACCAGGTGCACACATTTCTGTTGTGTATGTATTTAGAAGTGGATGGTTGAATTGTAAGAAATGATACGTTCAGCCTCAACAGACACTGAGAACCAATATCGTCTCTTTCATGCTAGACAAAGCGCACTACCACTGAGCTACACTCCCATTCCTTTTTGTTCTGAGACAGGATCTTATCAAATTGCACAGAACAGCCTCGACTTGTGATCCCTTGGCTTAGCCTCTGAAGTAGCTGGGACTACAACTGTGCCACCACATACAACAACAGACAGCCTTTCTGTACTTAGTGATATAGTGTCGTGCCCCATCAAATCACTGCTTTTCATATACCCTAGGTACCCAGCATATATGCTGACACACCAGAGCTACTCAAAGAAAGCACAAAGAACAACTGAATAAATATATGAAGTGATAAAAGGAATTTTAAATCCACAGATGTTCCACATGTATTTTGCTAAACCTAAACCTTGGCCTGAAAATGAAAAGAAAGGGACAGCTTTTGGACACACACTGTCAAATGTATTTTAAAGATGTCTGTCTTCATAACGTTAAGTGAATGTATCAGACACACAAGCTTAAATATTAAATGATTTCTCTTATATAAGAATCCCAAAGTATAAAGAGCAAAATAAAAGATAATAAGAAGTAGTGAGACAGATCTTTCTTGAATGTGGACAGGATCAACAGATGGAGGGGAGGTAGAGGAGGAAGGAAAGAGATGAGGAAAGGAATTAGGATGTGTTATGTACACGTGCCAACTCCATACAAGAAATGCAAACAGTATGGACTGCAAACATGTACCCTCAAAGGCATGGTGGCACATAACAGTAATCCAGCACTCAGGAGGCTGAGGCAGGAGGACTGTTCTGAGTTCGAAACTAGCCTGTATTACGTAAGTGAGCTCAAGTCCAGCCTGAACTGCATACTGACACTGTCTCTTAAAAACAGACAAGCAACAACAAAAACAAAACAAACCAAAAAACGGAAGAGATCAGGAGATAGATGGAGAGGCGAGGGAGAAAAGTCTAGCTTTTCTTCCAGACCTCTTGCTTGTATTACCCCCTATCTATCCACTGATCCATCTATCTATCTCTCCCTTATCTATCTGCCATGCCCAATTTCAGTGACGCTTGCTGTTCTTATATCACTACTGTGGTGTTGGTTGTGAGGCAGGTGTAATGGT